GGGGGCATTGGGACTTGTAATCCTCAGGACCCCAAGCTTTAAAACTAGTGAATATGGGATCATAAATTAATACAGAAATGTAGGACCAAGACACTATTTTTAGGGTCTTCTAGGCATAATAAAATTAAGTCAGGAAAACATGGGTGTCTGCCGCTAAGTCTCAAACTTAGTGCCATGCAGTATGCAAACCTGCAAGTGCCAGGATTAGAGATAAAAATGATTTCTGTTGTAGACCATACATGGCCAAGCTGAATGTGAGCTCCAAAAGGTTTTCAAAGAAGCCTGCTAAGTTTTCAGATAAACTGTGCATAGCATGAGTAAAGAGTTGGCATTCACAACGACCTGCCTTTGTTATGGCTCCAAAGAAAATCCTCATTTGCTGGACATGGTGCCACACAGCTGTAATCCCAGCACTTTAGGAAACTGAGGCAGGAGGATTGCAAGTTTGAAGCCACCTAGGTTACATCGTGAGACACATCTCAAGAGCAAAACAAAGCAAATGTCCCGTTGTGTGACATGGGGTCTGATATCGTAGGTAAGATCACGTTGGATGGTGTAGGGAGGGGAAGTTATGACTGCATAGTCATAAGCACAGGCTCACATGGGGAAAGCAGAGAAGCCTTTGGTATCTTGGCAGAGAAACTTCTTCAGAGTGTGTCCAGAACATGCATGTCTTATTGATTTCTGGCATTAAGAGTAGGATTGCTGCCTAGCACTTAGGAGTCTGAGGCAGGAGGATTGGAGCATGGTTTCAGGCTAGCCTGTACTCCCAAGTTAGACCCTGTCTCAGAAAACAAACAGATTGTTAGGAAAGAAATTGTTGGGCAGCAGGCCTTTATGTGTCAACGAAAAAGTCTGAGCCAAAGAGGGATATAAAATTGCTGCATTCATAAGTCTTAATTGGCATGAGTCATTGGTAGGCTGGAAGAAATGATGTGTGGGGGTAGACTTTAAGAGGGAATTAAACTAGGGTAGGATATTAGCAGAGAGAATTAAAAATAGTAATTTGTTTAT